CCAGGTGCAATCGTGGCAGCCAGATGTTGGGCACTGTTCCCTGCATCAATACAGCTCCGACATGCCAAGAAGGCTTCTTCTACCGCAGCAAAATATGTGATGATTGCACTAAGTTCTAAACTCACCACACCGCTCTATCTCCGCCAGCTCGCCACTGCAAGGCCTCAAACACTAGTCTCAATTTATCGCCACAGAGCTGCCTGGATCAATTAAGCCACCAGCGTTCCTCCGTTCGCTGATGCCAACACGATGTGTCGAGAGCGCTCTGTCTGTCCTCCTCCGCAAGTTGCCTGAAGAAGAGCACAGAAACACGGCAAGGGCTGAGGGACTTGTCCCTGCAAAACATGCAAAGGGCACTGAACACTTGCCCCATTGCTCCCAGTCGGACATTACCTGAGATCATCATTTAGAGAGGCAACCGAACGCATCTGCAGCTACACAAGTACATGTCAGCCCCATCCTGGAACTTGACATGAACGAAATACCATGCAGTGAAAATTTCTTTCGGTTTGACTCCTAATGTAAGAATCGCACGCAATCTTGTCGCCGTCTGTTGCGGCCGCATTGGTCCGAGGGTTCCTTGGCATGCTGAGAGCTTCCGCATTGCCCATCATGCAACATGTCAGATTGTTTGGGTAGAGCTAGTGAGCCGAAGCGCTCGTCCAATGCCAGGATTGCAGGGCACGACCTCCTTGACAGTCCCGTTGCAAGACCTCATGAAAGGATACGCGCGACAAATCAAACTGAGAGACCAGGACAACCTGGCTTCAGTTTGGCACACAAGTTTAAAGCAGCTTTTTTCTGGGTCCGACACTCGCCACCTGCTGTGGCAAAACGCTCGATCACGCGGTTCCGCTCTCGAATGCCAAAGCAACTACAGCTGCACTGTGACCTCTCGCATAAACAGCAACAAGTCATGCTGTCGGGAATCCTTGAGCGGACTACATTTCACATTCATGACACTGAGCACACAAGACAGATGTGTTCGGGGCGCACCAATGATTCCATTGACCCATGATGCAGTCTTGTACGATGTTGCATTCGGGCATGTCAATACACGCCTCACAGAACAGGTGCTTCTCTGGTGGTCACATGCCGTTTACGAGTCAGGCCTTGTACTCCTCACGGAGACCGACCGCTGGCTTCCCACAATGGCTAGGCTGGACCTACGAAATGCACTGTGTTGAACAGTTCCGAAATTCAGCAGCCAAGCTCCCAGCCGCTACATCGCGGCGTCTGGACTTGTAAGCCGTGCCACAGGTTGCGGAACCTGCAAATCTCATTTGTCGATTGCTGTCCATGCTGTTCCCATGCCACATACTGTGACAGCTTCAGGAATTTGCATGGCAGTAGATTAGATCGGCACAGTCTGTCCACCCACTCCACTCGCTCCATTCACCTTGCCAACTATATGAATGACATGCTGCATGAATCGACTCATGGTATCCCATCTCAAGCACCCGGCCATCCAAGCATGCTGCATCGCAGGACTCAGTGTTGCAAGGCCTTGGCCGACCGGATTCTAATTTCTTCGTCCAGTTCTATGTCTCACCTACGGCAGACCTACGGGAGCGTAAGTTGGCGGCGCAATCTGGCTTCGGTCTTTCGGCAAGCACAAACTGCGGAAACGTGCAGGGCAAGCGCACGGAAAGTATGAACAGACTCTGCGAACAAATCACAAGAATCATTTTACTCCACAAGGCTTGACAGGATGCAGCTTCAGGAAAAGTGACAAACTCGCAATCTGACACCTTGCTTGCTCAAATTCAGCGATCCTAGGCTGAAAAACAACAGCCGCTGTTTCTGCTAACGCCCAGAATTAGCTGACTTCCGTCTTTCCATTCGTCGTTTAGTCCTGCTCGGAATCTCAGACCGATTTTCTGTGTTCATACATGCAGCCCCTTCAAAAATGTACACCGATTATTCGCTCAGCAGATTGGTTCCATCACACCTGGAGATCTTAAGTTGGCAACCAGAGCACGCTCTATTTCAATTGACGGAAGAGAGCACCGCGCGGAGTACACACTGACGGAACTCACTGCCGAAATCGATTGATTAATTACGAAACAGGATCCTGGCCGAGCTGAAGAATCCCTGGCCTAAAAGATCCTACGAGCCTTCCACCATGCTGCGGCGCAACTGCCACATTCCGCTCTCGACCTCGCTTGACTTGGAGAGCACAATGATATGAACACAAAAGTCCCAACAGGATCGTAAAACTTATGCTCCGAGAACTTGCAAACTTTGCTGCTCGGTTTTCCGTTAAGAGACATGCGTTGAGACTGTCCTGACAGGGGAAGGCACACGGCACACCGCACAAAGATGCAGAGATGCACGTCTGGTGAACCCTGAAAGCTCCAAGAATACGCTCCAATTCCAATCACATAGCGCACACTTGCCATGATCAGCATGCGAACGTGGCAAGAACATGGCTATATGCTTAGTGCAAGGCTTGTAATAACGCGCCATACACCCTCAACAAAAATGAATGAGGATGAACAAGCAGCTTTAGCAATTTTAGCAAAGGTTAAACAAAAAACAAAGATGATCAACACCCCAAAATACCCTGCTATTACTTGCTTAGGGAAGAAATACTCAGCCAGCTGATACAAAGCTTGCTTTCCTGATGCGCAAGTGACCCGGGTGCGGGAAATAACGGGAACCATTGTGGCCGCAACGGGAACCTGTTTTCCGGACTCGTAACGGGAACCAGCTGGGACCGCAACAGAAACCGCGGCCGAAACGTAACCGAAACCAGGCCGCCAAGCAGCCGAAACCGGAGCCGAAATCCTGTAGCCCGAATCTCGCAAAGTGGGGGACCGAAAATCGGTCCCTCTCCAGGTTGCACCTCGTTCTACTCATTTTTCTGCTTGTACCACCACTAGGGCTACTTCTACACTCCTTTTTGCAGCATGCTTGTACCTCGTTCTTGTCACTTTTCTGATCATACTGGCACTGGTACTGCTTCTACACGCCTTCTCGCCTGAATCGTGAACCTAAACCCGAAACCTCTATTATTGCTCAAACAAGTTTGCAACATAAGTGGTTGAGGCATGCAGTATCCCTGTCTCTTTTCAGATAGTGCGGACACTGTATGCAGGCAACACAAGGACACTGAATGTTCAGTGGCTACCTGCATCTCCCAAATGAAAGCAGTCATGGCATCCATCATCCCGGCTTCAGCAAATCGAGCACTTGAAAAGCTGCAAAGAAGTAATCATGTTTGACGGGTGATGGCACTCATAGTCTTAAACTGCTGGAGCGGGCGGCTGCAGAAAACTTCAGGCGTTGCACGCATGACATCCTGCGGCCAAGCTGGGAACTGATGCTCTCGGAGCGCAATGCCTAGGTGGCGTGCGACTGGGCAAGCATGTCCAACGCGTGAACCACCATCGGCACAATTTGCGCTGGACTCCACATGCTCAAACCAAGCCGTTGCGCGCAGTCGAGCCAAGCTCAGATGAACAGCATGGATTACGGACCCAAAATCTGCAATGCGGGCTCTACCTACAATCATTGCAGCGAGTACTCCCAAGTTGTCAATGAAGAAAATGTCGTCGGATTTTCCCGCTTTGTGGAAGTGGATGGCCACTAGTGGCCCAAAGGCCTTGCCTTGGGCAATATACGTACTCCTCGCATCAAATCACTTGAGGACCGCTACAGAAAAGCCACCTTCAGCAATTTTGTTTACTGCATCCAAGACAATCCAAGAAACTTGCACTACAGGCAAGAGCAAGGGGGGTTGACAATCACAGGCTGCATCAGCGTCAATAACGTGATGTGGCCTACCATCCGGTGTCAAAGTGACCTCCCGGTATGGTTTCAACTGCAGAAGAGCATGGTGGAACTGCAAACTATGAAAAAGCTGCTGTGAGACAGCTGCAGAGTTGCCACTACCTTGGTCGGCAATAGCATGAGTTTGCCCCCTGCCAATTCTGCCTAAGGAGAAGAATGACAAATGAATGAGCTTGCCAGTCAATGTACGTGCATGCTTGTGGAGGAGCTGATGGTTGTCGATGGCTTGACGAGGTTGATGCTTGACGCGGCCCTCTCTGTCTGGAAGTGGCTGCAGTTTGACGCAGTCCGGGCAAAAGGTTTCCAAACGCCAAAAATTTGACCTGCGTCCTGAAAGGTGCGTCCTTACCCAGGTCAAAAATCCAGCCTATGACAGAAACTAGCTTGTCAAAAAAGAACCCACCTGACCCTTTGGCGAAAACAGGCTCAGTGATTTTGAAATCGTCAAAGAAGTTGATGACGGGAATGGCTAACCAACGTCTTGCGATGGATACCATGGAAGCTGGGTACCTGTTGAACTGTAAAACAGCACTCAGCAGCCCAAAAGCTAATCCGTGCAGGATGCCAAAAACCATCGTTTCTGTCGGGGATGCCACAAAGCGACAACAGAAAACCGAAGCCGACAATCCTGCACCGGAACCTGCCGATAAGCTCCCTTCATGTCCTTGGTAGCTGCTTGGAAGGCCAAATTTCCGGCTAAAGGCTGCTGAATGAGGTCCATGAACCGTTGGCAAATGGCCAAGCCCATGTCGACAGAAGCGGTGTGGATTCGTTCCTCAACGCTGGCGCAAACATTTTGCTCACTAGACTTGGCATTGTCTATGCATCTGTACGACCCGTGGTTTTCTTGCCACGTCGCAAATCGCAGCATAGGATGCCACTGATACAGCCCCAAACGGCACAACGCAAGTCTTCGGGACTGAACCACCCCTCTAGAATCCCTAGCTCGCGCTCCTGCTGCGACTTGTCGAAAACAAGTTGGGCTTCATGCTGGGGAGGAGGTCTGCTCTGTAGCAACTCCTCCAACCACTGACGGTCGGTGTTGAAACATGCATCCTGCGGAGGAGTATGTTGCTGCTTAGCGCGATAGATGCCGAAGTTTGGGAGCTCGCCCACAATCTGCACTCACAAAGAGACAACATCGCAGATGTGTCTGGCCACGCGATAGCGCTCGCAAGTTTGCCGGCACTAGATGAGCTCCAACTCCAACTCGTTGAGCAGAAGCAGCGCGTTGCCCTTCGAAGAAAGTTGCTAAGGGGGAGAGTTGTCGGAGACTTCTTTGAATCAAGCGCCACTGACGCTGCCGCCAGGCCCGAACCCCGGGGCCTCGCTCAACAACCATCCTGATAGCAAAGTCCAAGGCATCGGCAACAGCCGCTTGCGAAGCCAGCGGGGAATGAAGCGATTCAGCAAGCAGGGCACGCAAGGTTGGCGGCAACCCATATGGCAGCAAGCGGCGGCGAGTCACTGCGAACCCATCCTCGCGGTTCCGGCAGCTGCCCGAGGCCAACCGCAGGGAAGCCTTGTAGAAGCAGGCTCGCAACGGACGCAGGGGCAGTACGGCCAAGCAATAAATTTCGTCTGCTTTCAACAGGAAATCTTCCGCCCCCACTATCGCCAGGACGCTGCAACGGAGCTGCTGTGTGATGGACGCCGTAACCCAACAAAGTTTCCAGCTCCTGGGCAAGGCATGGTCGCACACGGTGAGTTTTGGGGCAGATGGTCGCGTTTTGCCCCCAAATGTTTTGCCAATTCAGTTCGGCACAATCTTGACAGAAGTTCCAGCCGGGCAAAAGGTGAGCCGCTGCAGGGGGCTTCGACTCGCAAGGGTAAACACAAGTAAGCCATGTGAGCAACTTTTTCTGAAGAGTTCTGTTTGGCCAGATTGGCCAAAAACTGGTGCACCACAAACCATACCACCTGAAAGAGCACGCACGAACAGAATCCACTGCGAAAAGATGGCATGGGATCGCTGCTTGCAACGTGGAAAGCACTTCTCCATCAGCGAAGCCTGTCAAGATCCAACGAACGGCAGAAGGCGTCAAGTCGAGCAGACAGGGAAGGAGGATGCGCACCAGCGGCTGAGCAATAGAAACCGGCATTTGACACCCAGCATAGGCAACAACGAACAAACAATCTGGATGCGTCTGAACAATGGCTTCAAGTTCTTCACGACCAATGTCTTGCAAAGAGCCAAAGTTGTGACCTGCAGGAAACGCTGTAGCTGCAAGCAGCTCTTCATCCTCTTCCAACGCACTGAAGCAGATCAACTTTGGTGGTACCCAAGGTCTATCCGGGCAGCATGCAGCTGCAACAGGCAAAGCGCAAAGCCCCCCCTGAGAGGTCCAGCAAAACAAAGCAACCGGAAAATTTGGCACGCGTTCCCCGCCTGAAGGGGCAGCTGGCAAGGAAAGCAGCGACAGTCATGATAACGCTGCTTTCTGAAAGCGGGTCACCCGTCACCCGGCCACGCCTACTCGGATCATGCTCGTCTGCGGGATGGACTTGCACATATGCTGCCTGACGCCAGCAGGACATCGCAAACATGAGCCTTGCCCTGAGAACACTTGCGACCGGGGCAACCGCGAGCGTCATTCCAACGCTTGCAATCTGCACTCCGGAGGGAAGGGAAGTACCTGTGGCAGGTTTGACCTTGATGGCAGTCACATCGGCACCAGGCAGGCATCGGGGCTATCTTGGGAACATCTGTCGTACGTGAAGACGTTGGCCCTGTACGGGATGCTGACAATAAGTCGTTAGCATCTGCCCACACATCCGATTCCTCTTCCAACGCATGGAGCAAGGCCTGGCCCCAGGGCATGCCGTCACTTCGACAACGTTCAATGGCAGTAGCACGGATTTGCTCTTCAGTCTCCAAAACATACTTCAGCACAGCATCTTCCGGGTGTTTATCAATGTCAATGACGCGCTAAACCTTTTCTTCCAAACGAGAAATGTATGTGCACACATGTTGCCAATGACAAAACTTGACTGACGTACCTTGTATTGGACGTCATAACACCCCGCCACAGGCCAGCCTGCGCCCAAGGTTCGGAAGCACGCAAAATAGGCGCGAAGCTTGCCTTGATCCTCTAAAGGCGAGATGTCATCGTCGGGAGTGCCCACGCTGAGCTGCACATTGTCCGTAACGCGGTGTTTCTTGCTGGGCTGAGAACGCTGCGACGAAGCAAGGCTGCGAGTGCGGAGCACTGCGAACATTGTAGGTTGACCTGATTCAAACTCGCGCACAATGCGGCCGAAGAGGCTATCGCAAACCATCTCTCTAGACTTCAACGTCCACTGATAGAAGCTCTGAAAGATTGCGTGCTTGGATTTTCTTCTCTCCGGATCTAAGGGCTCATCGATGGATTCCTCAGCAGGTCCTTGACTAAGACGTATGAGCCTTGTATCGTTGATGCCGGTAGCCTCTTTCCGCGCCTGCTTCAGGCGAGCCAGTTGCCCAACATTGTCTTTTTGGCTTCTGTGCTGGAGGATAGTAGAATTAATTCGCGTTGCCTCATCTCATCAACCAGGTTTGCAAAGTGTTTGAGTTCGCAGCAATCTTGAGGAGAGGCCGCCAGCCATGTTGAGACGTCTGCGTGCACCCCATTGCGAGTCAACAAAACTTTCAGCTCTTCCGACGCCATGGCCGAAACTGGTCCTAGGCCACTGGTCTTGAGAATTTTGAGCCTAACTAGCTGGGGAACTCTGCTCAACGCAGATGCCGCAATGGCCGCTTGTAAACGGGGCACATTGCGCTTGACTGCTATTGCCGCTATGGCAACATTTTAATGGAAAATATGGCTGCAGCCACGTTGGTACGAGCACGTACCAACTGAAGGAAAGAAAAAGGGTGAGCTACAGGGTGGGAGAACATTGCCTTCGCAATGCTTTGGCTGGCTGCGGCGCATCAAGCAAACTCAGCAGAGCAACAATTGACAATCCGAACCCTGGCCAATAATCAGCCATTCAGACTGTAAGCATTATTGCTCAAACAAGTTTGCAACATAAGTGGCTGAGGCACGCAGTCTCTTTTCAGATGGCGTGGAAACTGTACGCAGGCAACACAAGGACACTGAATGTTCAGTGGCTACCTGCATCTCCATTGATCTGGCACCATCGATCTAGAAACTAGAAGGAACGTCACGGGGATGCGCCGCGCAATTCCCTCCATTGCGTCTGGCACTTTGCAGACAACATGTGGTAGCAGCGAGGCGACCACGGTTTGCCAGTGTCGCAAGCAACTAGCAAGCCCTTTCCAAGGTCTGGTTCAAAGCAAGCCACGGTTACAGGCGGTGCGCCATCACTTTGTTAGCACAGCTACTGGCTTGCACAAGCGCAGGCGACCTCTGCCTGCTTTACTCAGCAGCCATTGAACGTTGTCTGGTTCAGGCGCACTCTTGCTTGGAGAGCCGGAGCCATCAGAATCTGAAGGGCAAGAACTTCCGCTGCTGCATGAGGAGCTGCAGCCCCCCTTGCTGGCTGTTTCCGCCAAGCATGTTGCAGCAGACCCCATTGTTAACAGCCAAGAGGCCTCCTGCTTGGCTGAACGCCTCGAAGGGAAAACCTCACTTAATTTGTCCCACCCTAGGCTAGTCTGCACGTCAGAGTTCAACACGTGTCGCATGACCCACACCAGTTCAGTGTTGATGCAAAGGCTGGCGCGCAGCTTTTGGTCGGCATCGCGCAATGGCATTTTTGTTATCTGAACAATGGCTTCAAGTTGTGCACTAGCTACTCCCTAAAAC